ACTTTAGTGAATGTTGAATTCTTTGAGTGGTGCTGTCCTCATATTTAAATCTATTAGAAGTTTAACATAACAGCAGGCCAGCTGGCAGCCTTGAAAGCAATGAGAAGGCATTCAGAGCTATGCTCTGCAGCGATGTATATCGACATGACGAGGAAGGTCTATTGACATGGGCTTTAGTTTTATGGAGAGAAAGGCAAGAATATAGACTCTGATCCTTTTGTGTGACAGTTACAGTCACCTGGTGTCCTGCTACCCTACCTGAGTGGGGTAACTGCATGGAACCTCTGCGAAGGTTGAAATTTTGAAACTAATGTTTTGAATTTACATAGGTATAGCTACATGTAAGATTGTTTTCAAAGTGGATAAAAATATCTACTAGCACAGGAACAGAACATATCTAAAAAAAAATGGAAATTACTTTAATATGAATGATTTATTTGGTTTTACAATGACAAGAGTATCTGCTGTAGGCAAAAGGACTATTGCAAAAATAATTCATTTAGCATTTATAAAGGGCTTTTTGCTCTTAATTTCTTTTATATATTTTATGATTTGGTCAATACAGCAGAAAAAATATCATGAATGCAAACTTCTTAAGAAAACATTAGCTTGGCTAATGCAAAGAGAGTTGACAAAGCTGCCAATGATGCAGCCCTCCAGACAGAGGAGTCTAAATCAGTTGCCCTCTACAGCTTTGGTCCATCAGATCAATTATTACAAGGGTGCTGGAATCAAACTGCCAGTCAGTTACCATGACTGACAAATGTGTTTATTTTTCTTTACCTGTTAAAAAATGCTACCTCCCACAATAATCACAGGGCAAGTAGTCCTCATAAAAAATAGCATGTTTACTTTTTGTGTGGTTTTGCCTATTTGGAAAGACCGTCTAGAATAGTAATTCTCTGAGTGCTGTGCTGGGAAGCAGAGAAGAGCTGCTGCTACATAGTTTAAGAGTTAAGTCCTGAGGAGATGAAAATAGAAACCCTGATTGCTGGTTGTCTCATCAGCCCTTGTGAAAAGCAGCTGACAGTGTTCATGTTTGGAAGAAGAGGGGAAATTGGAAATCCATTACATTTCTCCTGGTGTTTCAGTCACAAGAATATATGACTGCAGTTCAAAAAATACAGAGAGGCTAAGATACTTGACCACAATTCAGAGATGCTCACTGTCACACATTAACAGAGTAGTAAACTAGTTAAGAAAAAAAATAGTTTTGTTTCTTCAAACTCAGTCTGTGATAATGGGAAATAGGACTTCTGAAACTAGATGGGGTATTTCTGGCCTTTTCCCCTTTCTTCCTGATTTTTGTTTGTGACTGAATGCTGAAATTTGGATTTGGCATCGTGAATGTCAGTCACCAGTCTGGGACTTGCAAGAGTAGCTTGCAGAATATCAGTGACCATTTTGATTATGATAAACACCACAAAACCGTAACAAAAGCAGTTCTTTCCTAAGACCAGATAGTTTGACACCCACATGCTTGTCCCTCCCTCACTGTTTCTGTCTTCACACTTTAAACCTCCTCACAGATCGTTGCACAAGATACCTGTACGTTTCAAGGCCAGACTGTCATACAAAACCTACAATGGACAGTCATCAGGGAAAGCATTTTGGGTGATGGATATTCAGCCACCTCCTGAAATCTGCAGCAGAACACACAGAAAAATGGTTTTGCAACAAGTGCTATGTGTGGTGCTACTTGCTACTCAGCAGGATAAAAGAAGGAAAGTAGGTGGAAAGTACTCAATTCTGACAACAAAAGAATAGTACATGCTGCCTTTTTTAAATGAGATTTCATTTTTCCGTTGAATCAGCTATTGGTTTTGTGATTCTGTCACTGATATACACACTGTCATCTGGACTTTGGAATCATGCTGTTGCCCAGCATTAGAAATGTCCATTCTTTTAACTGTCTTCTGGAACACTATCCATTTATTCATATGGCACAGTTCACGGATATTTTTTTTTTTCATATATATATATATATATATATATATATGAACAGTAAAAAGGAATAGAGGCCGAGATTACAACAGGATTTTAGGTTTCTGATAATCCTCCCACTGCTGCTGCTAGGGCTGCATGGCCCCCTTAGGGCACCTTCAGCGCAGCCAGCCTGCAGCCGCCAGGATGGCAGGTGTCCCCTAAGAGACCAGAGGACTCTTTACTTCACTGACTTCACTGAAAGTAGAGCACAGCTCCTATATGAACTTCAACACGTATAAACTTTTTTCTCTGATTCCAGTGCCTTTTCTTCACAATTCACCGCACACAAAATTTAAGAGACAGATGTAACAATTTCAGGAAGTTGAAGAGAGAAGAAAAAACATTTGGGGCCAGAAAGAGACAAAGAAACTTTAGATGACAATCTCCGTTCCAATTTAGGGAAACTTTTTCATCAGCTGCCCTCAGAGAACTTGAAATACACTGTCTATTACCTTTGCAGAATTGCTCTGCTTTGCCTTCAGAGTGAATGTGACAATTTTCCAAGCCAAACTTAAAGAGGAGGGGAAATAAATCACTCTAATGTTTGCCTGGTAGGAATCCAAGCAGTAAAGAAACTACCTCCTTTCTAGAAAGTCTTGTAAAAAACAGTCTCTTTTACTTAATCTTTTTTGACTCACTAATGTTTCTGCTTGAGTCTACAGTTTGCAAGCCATAAACATTGTAGCAAATAATGAAGTCACCAAGCAATTAGGACTCGAGTACTTATGCTTATAAGAGTGGCCTCTTGCTTTTTTCCCCCCACATAAGAAGTAAATATAGTATCTGTTTCTCTCCTCTGATGCTAGTTTGCAGCTTGAATAATGTGGAATCCAAAAAGGTTGTTCTGATGGTTTTAACTTCTGGGGTTATCTAAACTGTGGTCTGTTGTGAGGCAGTCCAGGTGCATGGTACATTTTACTAGTTGCCCCCAGCATACGGACAAGTGAGGACTGGGGAATGCAGAGGGGATGAGCTGTGGCTTCTTTCCCTCTCCAAAACTCAAGGCTGTCTAGGGAGCAGGGACTAATTGTGGCTTTTGAAATCTGTGCACTTCTGTGGCAATTCAAGTGCAGCTGTCAGGCCAAGGCTATGCCACGTGGTTATCATTTGGGATATATTGCCACAAGGGCAGGAGTTGGGTAACCTGCATGGCTGGCCGTGGGAAGAAGTGATCCAGCAGATGCTGCCGGGTTCAGCCTGTCAGACAGAGTCACTTTGGAATACCCCATCATGCCCACCCAAGCTCCACAGTGGGACACTTCAGCCATCACTGTATCCCTCCTGTGACCTGCTCCCTGCATGTCCCCCTGCTCTCCGCTCTCATGCCACGTGTGAGATGCAACATGCATATATGTATCTCTTATGCTGCTTGGCTATATGAAGATATTGGTGGTTGTAAGCTCAGAAATTTTGGGCAGTTCTACTGCAAGGCCTTGGCAAAGGGGGAAATGAAGAAATTCTGGCTCAAAAGTGTCATGTAGTGTCATCTTAAAATACATCTTTGTGAGTCCCTGGTCCAACGTTGAAAGCAATCTCTTTGTCACTCACTCAGGGGGCTGCCAGATGTCCCATGTCTTAAATAGCTTCCTGTAATAGAGGTTTGGGTCGTGTGTCCTGAATGGAAAGCATTCAGTACCTGGGTTTTCCTGTATTTCCAAGGAGATCTGCCAGTTTTTTTTTTCCAGGTGCCTACAACACAGATACAGCAGTTAATGTGAATGTCAGCTAAACCATGCAGATGTTCAGTCTAGTGGCTGGGGACCAAAGACTCACACGTGCCCAATACATAGTCACTTTATAACTGTCTGACAAGGACTGTGACAGAGCTTCCTACTTCAAATCTTGTCTGTTTTCCATTGTGGAGTCCCAGGTACATCTATGCTGAGTGTGTCATAAATGCCCTCAGCTTGTATGGGCTGCACCTCAACAGTCTTCTCAAGGCTGTGTATGAGACTCCTAACAGGACCTTCTTTCAGTCTGTCTGGAGTTTAGGATGCAAGCCTCTTCTGGGTGCTACAGAGACTTCTCTCACAGTGGTAAATCACCTTTTTCCTTCATCTGTCTGCTTTTCACAGCAGCAATGCCACTGATTTGATTCTGAGTGGATAAAGCTAGATCTGAGAGGCCAGAATAATCTATTTCTCTCATGACATGCCCAGCATATTAAAATTGAGCAATGGCTCACTTGTATTTGCACTTAAATTAGACTGTAGCAGCACTATTCCTAGGGAACCCTAATAAGAACTGGAGAATGACACTAAATCAATGGACTTCTTGTTAAAAGAACTAAACTAAAATTTAGATGTTAAGCCCAATGGACTTTGTTTAAACCTGTTAAAATAGACTTTCCATGAATAATGTTATCAAGAAAGAGTTTTATCTTCAGGTTCTTAAAAGTATCCCTTACATGAATAAATGGAGAAGTAAAATAGAAAGCCATTGTTTGTTAAAAAAATAATGAGGGAAAAAAAAAAAAAAAGCAGCATGTTATCACAAATCCCATGCAGTGTAAGAATAGCATGTGGTTTTCTTTTTAGTCTGGTCAACTTTATCAAGTATTCTTACTCCATTCTCTTCCAACACAATGCATTTCTCATGTTATGTTTGATTTGAGTTAATTTTCTAGCTGTAAGATCCATGCATGCTGAGATCTCTTCCACAAAACACCCAGGATCCTCGTTCAGTTTCCTTTCCATAGATACTAATTCTTTCAGTTTCCACCCCTTACAGGACAGCCATAAAGATATCACACCAGAAGCTATGCCCAAAACCTCTTTCCAGAGGAACAAGAATAAATTCTTATAATTCCAGATGATTTAATGAGGATTCTGCATAAAATCAGACTGCTCCATCATTGTGCTTTCTGCTTTCCCTCTCCATCTGAATTTTAGACATACCTTTAGATCCTGCCTTAATCACTTACTTCTGAGGGTGTTGGCCTGACTTTGGCTGGTTGTTTTTTGAAAACAAGCTTCCTATCTTTGTGTAATAAGTGGGTTTTTGCCTCTTTTCAGTGATGGTTGGGCAGACAGAGATGAAGTCATTGAAGGTTATGAACCTGAAGCAAACGGAGGCATCACTATCAAACTGCAGTCTCCAGAGGTCTTGTCATTTGATGACTACTATCTGAAGCTGCGTCTGGACACCAACACCCGCAATCCCTGGTTTCCTGAGTTCTGGCAGCACAGATTTCAATGCCGCATCCCGGGGCACCCACTAGAGAATCCCAACTTCCAGAAGAACTGCACTGGTAACCTGTCAACTATTTTCCTGTTTGAATCTGTGCTCTGGCAAAAAATTGTCTTTGGGTTTTTTAAGTTTGTTTGTTTGTTTGTTTGTTTGTTTTTAAATTATAGATCAACATCAGAAAGTGCCAAGCCCAAACTGTATACAAATAAGTCTCTGTGTGTGTGTGTGTGTATATATATATATATCTCTATCTATCTATCTATCTATCTATCTATCTATCTATCTATCTATCTATCTATCTATATGTGTGTGTGTGTGTGTGTGTCTGTCTGTCTGGCGCTAGTTGCACAGCCTCCTCCTAATTTAATTCTAGTCTGTTATATGGTGACTTGTTCCCTTTTCAAGTTTTAGGGCTATACTGAAGCTGCCAGGAGTGTCTAAATTTATGTCTTGCAAAAAATAAGTAAACATTAAATTTTACAAAAATAGGAACAAATTTAAACCTTTTTTTCTCAAAGTAAGATTTTCTGATCAGCTGAAGAATCAGGAAATTTGCAGAAAATATTATGGCAGAAAATAAATTTTAAGGAAAAGTGATGAGTCTTAAAACTGGACAGTCATCTGTTTCACTCTTTTTTTTCTTCAACCATTAAAACATTTATAGTTTGTTTCCACTATGTAGCACTCATATAAAAACCACGCTGTCCTACAGATAGAATTAACTCTCACCTCATAGCAAGAGGAGTGTATCTGTGCACAAAGCGTTTTCTCTTCCATGGCATAATCTGAGAAAATAAACTAAAATGTTGCAGTAAGATTAAATTTATTAGTTAATGGAGTGAGAGGTGATCACTTTTCTGCAAAGTACTTGCTGAATAATTTTTGAAAATATTTCATTTGTGGTTTGTAAATATTTAATTTCTAGTAAAAAAAAGTGTCCTTTGATAGTAAGGAAGTTACTCCATTAGAAACAAAACTAATGAAGCCTGATTTCCCATGAATTTCTGTCCTATTCTTCACATCTCCACCTCTTTTATCCCATAGCAGTAATCTCAGTTGGTCTTCATGTGCTCCCTGAGTTGAATTCCCATAGTGTTCCTAGTTCTTCCCATCTACTCCACTAATAATTTTTAACAGCAGCTTCCACATATACTGTCACTGCCTCTAAACTAGCCTGATGTGCTGACTGCCAGACAGGCTAGCCCATCTGGGTGCTCAGGGGCTAATGGCAAGCCAGACAGGCTAAATAAATGTTGAGGTTATACTGATATTTTTCCTCAAAGTAGTGATTAACTTTGGACTCTACCAAAACGTTGATTTATGGTGTATATATATTTAATTGATTTTGACACTGCTTCAGCTCAGACAAAGGAGTTAATATAGGCCAACAAGGGCAGAAATTACTAAGGATGGGATGAATTATAGATGCACAGTGCAAATGCATAGACTTTTTTCTTGAGAGAAGAAGCTTAAAATTGCTTTTTTTTTTTTTTTTTC